CTAAGGGCCTCCCATATACCTGAAGCTCCATGTTCCATTTTATCCTCAAAAACCCATTTTACAGCTGCAACTAAAAAGTTACACTTAGGATTGTGGTTATTTCAGAAGCAAATGACCTGCACAACTTTAGCTGCACCAGTAATATTTTTCTGAACCTAGGTAGTGGGTACATTGGAGTTCATTTTGTATTTTATTATCTTATTGAATGTCTTAAGTGTTTAACAACCACAAAAAGTAAAAACGAAGTTCCTAAAATTACCAACACTCTGCTACCAAACCCACGCTACTTTCACCAGACTATGTACACAGACTAAGATAAGTCATTTAAAAATGAAACCAGTCCAGAGGGGCACTGGGTACACAGCCTTCTGAATAGTTAGCATACAGAGGGGGGAAAAGGTAGAATTAAAAAGAACAAAGATGGAACTGAGGGGGCAAATGAGGAGCCAGAAACAGAACCAAAAGGATAATGAAGGGACCAACAGAGAAGGGGTATCCTGGAAGCTATGTAAGAGACAACTGGGTTTGGAGATTACATAACGACCTTGTGGAGAGCAGTTTCACTGATACAACCTCTGGTAACCGGTGACCCCTGTTCTGGAGGCAGCCTAGTTTAGTGGGCAGAAGCACAGATGAGATCCCAAACTTTGCTGTTTACTTGCCCTATCATCTTGGACTTATCATTTCATCTGTATAATGTAAATGATGGGATGCACCTCATGGGGTGCTGTGAGGATTAAGCATAATACACATAAAGTGCTGAGAAAAATGCCAGGTACACGTTAAGGACCAAATAAACAGTAGCTATTATTACTGGACAGTGGTTCACAGCCAGGGAAGTCTTATTTTAGGAATCCAGCAAACTTACCAAGAGCTTCAGCATTTCTTTAGTGTCAGGATCTACTTCAATGATCTCCTGATCCAGGGCTGAGACCTAGAAGCAACAAGGTGGGTCCACATTATCAATCTATGAGCCCTCTCTCACTTCTGCTGCTGCTTCGCCCAGATTAAGTGGATAGGAAAAAAAAAAAAAAAAAAGTAGGTGTCTCTCTGCAGGGATAAGTGATAAAACGAGCAGTCTGTTACAGTGATACAGGTCCCAAAGATCTGTACTTCTGGTTTACTGTCATATACCCTCATTATTAATCAGTACTCAGAAAACCAAGACTGGGTTGATGCTTCAGGAATACTACATTAAGTTAATCAAACCAGGAAATGTGACAGCAGTCCCCAAACATCGTTAAGGGCTCTCATTGAACTTAGATGGCCCCAACAAGACACAACAAAAGCTAACATAAGGAAGTAAAGTAAGCCAATTATGATGTTCCTTTGGAAGCTAGGTACCTCAAATATTCTTAGAAACATGCTTTTTAGCATTTCAGGATGAACCTGAGGCTCAGGGAACAAGCCACAAACTTACCTCAGGAACATAATTATCTCTCCTTTCTCTCTCCTCTTCCTGCAGCTTGATGGAGATACCTCTCACAGGGCCTCTCTGAATACGCTTCATCAGATGTGTGACATAGCTACAAAGTGCAAATGCCCAATAACAGTAAAAACACACACCAACGTGTGAGTATATAATTAGCAATCTTAGTTCTTTTCCACTGACAGTAGACTTGCCATTCTAGAAGCCTCTCTGTCCTGGGACCACTACATGCACAGACCTTCTGCATGCTCTTCTCCACTTATGTCTGCCTGTCCCCAGGCAACGCCAAACTCTAGTGCTCGTCTCCGTAGCATCTCGATGGATGCTAACAAAACCACCCGGGCGCAAAGCCTCCTCCCAAGTTGATCGCCATAAACCCGTGGGGGCCCGGGCTCTCCCTCTTCCTCCAGGCCCAAGAGGCCAAGTGCCACTCAACTCACCCTGCTATCTTGTTGCGGAGCTTCTTGCTAGGAATGATGGCGATCTCCTCACACACACGCTTGTTGGTGTGGAAGTCGTTGCCTAGGCGCGTGTAGTACTTCTCAATGATGACCCGGGCCGCTTTCTTCACGGTTTTGGTGCGAACGCGACCCTGCGGGTGCAGAAAACAGGGTCATTCGTGAATCGGTGCACCCCTCCTGAAAGAGGGCAGAGCCCAGCCTGCTGAGAGTGGGGTTCACCCGCAGGGACCAGGTCCGGGAGAGAGGACGGGCCGGGTGATGCCGGGAGCTCGGGGGTCCCTGCGGTGGCCTGCGGCCAGCTCTGAGGCCCGCGCCTGGTAGAGCCCTGCCCGCACCCGACCCATAGCCTCGTTTTGCGGGTTGCAGGCCGCGGAAAATTGTGGATGGGGAACGATTGTGCAGATGGCGGCCTCAGGCCAAAACACCTACCATGTCGGCGGGTCCCTGGTAAAAGAGGAAACAGGAAACATAAGAGAGACCTATAAGGCACAGGCCAGAGAGCCGCTTCCGCCTAACCTGGGAGGCACAGAGTCCGCTGAGGCGCCACAGCGACCCCTGGCGGAGCGGGGCGGCAGTGTAGGAGGCGGGCCTACCCCCCTCTTCACCCCTCCCGTATGTCCCGCCCCCGAGAGGCGGGGCTCCTCCATTGCCGCTTCCAGCTCCACGGAAAGGGGTGGCTAGGGTCGGCTTTCGGCGCCGCTGCCTTGACTGCGGGATTGATGTATTTTGGACTTGTAAGAGTGCATTTCTTTAGCACATGCTGGGGTGCGGACACACTGGGAATGGGAAGGCGACCTTTGAGTCCTTGAGAAAGCGAAGGAAGGAAGGCGATCCAGTACTGTGGAGAGGTGATGTAGGCGAAGGTGCTCTGCCCAGGACCCCCACGCAGTCCGCGGGTCACAGACTTGTGTCTGTCTGGCATGAGACTGGGAGAGGCTTATCTCATTCCTTCCGGGTCTTTGCTCCAACGACACCTTAGCAGAGGAGCTTTCCCTCCAACTTGTCTAAAATAGCACCATCGCTCCATCACTGCCCTTTCACTCTGCTCTAATAATGCTGAGTATTTGTCACATGACTTGTCTTAGTTTTCCCTTATTCTATGTTCAATAACGGGAGGTCTGGTAGCATAGTGCCTAAGGCACTTGACTGCTAATCAGAAGGCTGGCGGTTCAAACTCACCAGCCACTCCTCGGAAGGAAGATGGGGCAATCTACTTCCATAGTGATACTGCCTCGGAAACCCAAGGAGGGGTCGCTATGAGTCGGTCTGACTCCATGGCGCATAACAACATGTTCAGTGAGGGCCGTTTTCTTTACCTAATCCCCAGTGTCTTGAACAGTACCTAGCACATAGCATTCGAATATTTAAGGAAGGGCCCAGTTCACTCGTAGAGCTCCCAACAAATGAGAGTGCCATCTCCATCCAGGCTGTTCCTGCCATATTCACCCCAAAATCAAGTCCTTCTGGTGACCTCACCAGCCTAGGGAAGGCCCTGCCCTCTACTGGCAACTCTGGTCCCTGGGCTGAAGGGTAAGGAAAGGCTGGACTGACCAGAAGGCAGAATTAAAGGGTGTGCCTCACCCCTCAACTCACCTCCTTGTCACCTCCTCCAGTCTAGCCAGAAAGAATTCTGGGTGGCTTAAGGATAGAAAGCCCTCTTCCTTAAAGTAGCACTGGACAAAAGGGAGTAGGAAAGAGAGGCCATTATGAGACTGGAGAATAGGAGACCAAAGGAAACAGACTCCTCTGAAAGTTGCAAGATTTTACTTCACCAACAGATTTTAGATCGAGCTGCTGCCAAGCCCCAAGGGAAAGGTCAGGCCCCTCATTCTTGGCTAAGGGGACTCCCTACCACAGCTCTTGCACTAAGAGTTGCAGAAAAGGGATGCTCCTACATGCAGTGTTCCTCCGCCTCAAACCAAACTCAGATCTTCCAAAGGATCAACCCAGCAGCGGGACCCAGGCCCACCCAACCTGAAAAAAATTCTGGGGAGCCTGTGAGAAAGCATTCAGGCAATTGGCTCTCTGAAAAAAATAACAAAAAATAAATTGCTCCCTCTCAAAATGGAACTGGGTCAGCACAGATAAGTCGAAGAGGATGAGAACCTTCCCACGCACGAAGAAACAGGCTCCAGGCTTACAGGAGAAGCTGAGAACAAGTGGTTCCTGCTGAAGCCCCAGCAGGTGCATGCATCTCCAGCGTGCTCTAAGGTAGGTCCAGAGGCTGTGAGAAGACCCCAAGAAACTCAACAATGAGAGCTTTGTATACTTGGACTGGAAGTACCCACCACCTGCTGGAGAGGCAACTGCAAAGCACATTTGCTCACGGAAGTGACCAAAGAGGACTTAAAGGGGCGTGTCTCCTGCATGGCTCCATCATCATTCTGGGGTAGAGTCTTACCACAAAAACCCAAAGAATGAACAAGTCTTACTCTGGAATCGTGTTGCCCCCACACCTCAGACAGAGAGACAAAACCAGAACTCTGCTGCAACGTGTTTATTATGTGCCAAAAAAACTACACCACAGCTTACTCCACACATCTGTAGGAGAGTGCAGTCTTGCCTGCATATACTACAATGAGGTAGAGACTTCACACACAGCTTCACAAAACCCACAGAGTAGCTGGGATATGCAACAATGCAACGTCAGTTCAGCAGGAGGGGGGAGGGGGTTATGACACTGGTTCTTTGGCACACAAGCTTCCCAAAGAAGGGCAAGTAGTTTAAAAAAAAAAAAGAAAAAGAAAAAGAGAAAAGTCAAGTTTTCAAATTCCAGTAGCATTTCAGTCAACTGCAACTGTTGCTTCATACATTTCTCAAGTGAAAGCATTAAGGGAAGGGTACTTGCCCCTCTGCGAGAAAGGGCTCCTGTGAGCCTTCATCTGCCCCCACCAAAAAGCAGCCCTTTTTAGCTCAGTTACAAAAAAGAAAAAAGTCCTGTGACTTTGTGATTAAAAACTTCTATCAACCCTCCCCCTGACGTAAGTGCAACTTAAGAAGGTGCAGTAAACCATTTAAAACTATATACAGCAGCTGTTCAAACACCGTTTATCCGGTCCAGTTTCAAATAAAAAAAAAATATATATATATATATATCTTTTTTTTCCCCCTTGGTTGCAAATACCTTGATTTGCAACCATGAGAAACAGTGACCAGCAGTCCCCCAGACACAAATTTGCTATAATGTTAAAAGCTGCCAGGAAAGAAAAAAAATCCTTGTTCCAAACGACTTAAAAACTGTTTTAAGGAGTGTAAAAAGGAACTGGTAAAAACCCTCGAGCGTAAAATATGAAATATGATTTGGTTTAAATGAAGAGCAAAGTCTCCTTGTTGTTTACAGTAAAAAACACCAGCTGAACACTCAGTTTATGCCGTTCAGGTGGGGGTTAAATAAATGGAAAGGCACTGTATGGCAACTGCAAGAATGAAACCAATGAGACCTGTGCATCATCACCATCAGTATTGCAAGGAATGTAAAAAAGCGCTTTTAATAAATAAACCGAGATGTAGGCATCCGTGTCAACACCTTCTGGACACGTAGTTCTTTTTTGCTTTTCATCGGCAAAATGAGGAACTAAAATCTGGGAAAACTGCAGAGTCGCTGGAGGGTGAGCCAGGGGGTCCTTGCCCTGGCACAACCCCTGAAAACAAAACCCGACAAAACTCATTGTGCATTAATTAGTGCAGAAACAAAGACAGATTCAGCAAGTGCAAAGGTGACTACAATTTTCCCTCGTCCTCGGGAAGCCAGCTCCCTGGCCACCAGTGGCGGAGTGGTGCTGGCTGCTGCCTGATGTGCCAGCCTGGACGCCCCAGGCCACTGGGCAGGGCCAGCTCTTCTAGCTGGAGTCTCGGTTCTTCTGGTTCCGCATCAGTGGGCTGTGGTGACGCAGGCCTTCCATGCTGTGCCGCCAGTGCCAGCAGCTCCGGCAGAAGTACTTGAAGCAGACCTGGGTTGGGGGGAGAAAAAAAAGAGATGCCATGCCTGTAAGCATCAGCCAGAGGGACCGCTGCATGAGCTGCATGTTGTACTTGGAGAAGAAATGAGGGATTCCCAATGGCTTCTGTGGGATTAGAAGAGATGGTTTCTGGGGGCTCTTTCACCTCCAACACAGAGAACTAACCAACCATGGCAAATCCACTGTCCATGTTTCTGTGGCTGCCCCAACTTAGTCAAGTATTATTGGGCTCCTCCTATGAACAGAGACTGCCAGCCTCCCCCATCCCCTCTTACCACTACAGCTGCTCTTCCTACCTTGACCTCCTTCTAACTGCCTATAGAATGGTTTTATCACATGGCTGCTAACAAGGAGAAGTTTTAAAGATAACAACTACAGATTCTAATGCTAGACAACATGGCTTCCTCCCTAGACTGACTAAGGAGAGGTGATGGGATATGTACTCCAATCTCAGTGCCACCTCTTGCTAGCTGTGTAGCCTCGGGTAAGCCATGAACCTCTGAGGAACTATCAGAAGGTGGGAATCATCTGTAAGATACCTAAACCCACCAAAGCCTGCCAGAGAAATTTGTTCTCAGGCTTTACCTAACAACCCAGACAGACCTCACTTTGGAGGCTCAGTTCAACTTCTGTCCACCCAGAGACTGCAAACCTAAGGTACAGCACCACTGGGGGTAGGGATGAACCCCAGCATGGGTTGACTGCTAGTGTTCTGAGAGGGCTCAACACTCTACTATCAAAGGCTGGTACAGATCAGCAGTATCAGCATCTTTTGGGAAGTTGTTAGAAACACAGATCCTCAGGCCCCAACCCTGACCCCATGAATCACAACCTTCATTTAAACAAGATCCTCAGGTGAATTTTATGCACGTTACTTTGAGAAGCAATGCCCGTACACACTCATATCCATGCTCCATCGCCCAGAAACATTTTAAAAAGCTGTCATGCTGCTTTCTGTTAGTGTTTGACAGCTGTAGGTAAGGTCCAGGCACAACATATCACAACAGTTCAGAGATAAACGAAGGGTGTTCTGGCAAAATCCAGTCTAGCATCAGAGTTAGAGCAGCAGAAACCCATCCAGGTTTCTATCATCTACAAAAAGCACCAATAATCAACAATACTGCCATATTGCATAGCAACATCCCAGGCAAGAAGAAGGCCCCAGTATTGACTCAATTTACTAAGCTTTCCTTAGAGTTTTGAGTTAAGCTATTTATAGTGTGTCCCTGGTCTGATCACCAGCAAACAATACTGTTGCCTCCTCTATGCTGAGACAAGCAGGATATACTTCGGACCTCCCACCTTCAGTATGACAAAGTTGGCATAACAATCTTATTGGGAGTGGGAACTTCACTGACAGCCCATGTGTCCAGGACTCACCTGATCCCGACAGAAGAAAGGACCAGGCTGAGAGCTGCAGATGTGACACAGAGAATCTTCTAAGTAGGGGTCAATTTGAACCTGCACAAAAGCAAAATAGGAGAGTGAAGAGGAAGATCTCTCAAGGAGGTCAGAGGGCTAGAAGGGAGGGGTGCATTACTGGGCCACACACAGGAATATAGGAGTTTTGCCTGTTTTCAAGGAGGCACAACAGGGATCTTAGAGGACAGACTGACATGCTATGCAGAGCCAAGCTGGCTGCTTCTGCTCCACCTCCAAACTCCAGCATTGAGATTGTTTTGCTATGATTTGGAAATTGATCTCCTTTCTCAGTCAGAGTCAGTACAGGTGCCTACACACTGCTTGGTCCTCTCAACAAAATGTACCCTAGACCTTTATCACTTAGCAGTAGGTAAGAACACAGAGCATGTGGGTAAGGGCTGGAGTATGGAAGTCAGGTTACCTAGAAATGCCACACAAATACCACAGTGAGGAAAGGTACCTCCCATACTGACGTGGCTCAAAAGTCCCAGTTCCTTTCTCCCCTGAGCCTACCCAGAACAGGCCCACTCCTAAACCCTAACACCTCACGGTAATTCCCAGCAGTCAAGCTCACTCAGTACACTCAGCATAGGCCCAAGATTTATTCTTAGGTCTGCCTTACATAGTCATTGGCCCAGGCCCTCTCACAGATGCCCCCAGAATAAGGGCACAGACCAGCCCACTCACCTTCTTGGTAAACTTGGTAGTTTTGATCTCCACAAAAGCTGCACTGACTGCTTTCAGGTAACTGCGTTGGTTGTTGAAAGTCACACGACCAGACCCTAGGAGCAAGAGATGTAAGTTACCTTCTAGCCAAATTCTCCCAAATGCCACTTGGCAACATGTAGGAAACCCTGTTTCTAGACCAGTGCAGCCCAAAGAAATATAATGTGAGCCTACTTATGTAATTTTAAATTTTCTAGTAGCTAAGACACTTGCCTGCTAACCAGATGGCTGGTGGTTCAAACCCACCAGCCACTCCTCGGAAGGAAGGTTGGGCAATCCTACTTCCGTAGTGATACTGCCTCGGAAACCCAAGGAGGGGTCGCTATGAGTCGGGGCCGACTCCACGGCACATAACAACAACAACAACAACAACAAATTAAAGTAAAAAAGAAACCAGTAAAATTAATTTTAATAATATGATTCCTCTACTGTAGGCATATGTACAGGTAAGGTTGAAAGAGTTCAGAGGAAACCAAAATGCAAAATTAACGCCTCTCTGCAAGGGTAGGCCCAGCAGTCAAACTCCTTCTGGCCTGGAGGAACATGAGACCCAGCCAGGGGGCTGGAAAAAGCTCTATCCTGCCAAGTGCGGCCTCCATCCGTGCAGCCTCTGAAGTCCCTGTTCTCAATCTGCGGTGCAGCACTGATGAGCACATGGAGCTCCTTCCTGGCCAGATTCAGCGTGGGTGGGCAGACGATGCTTTGGAGAGGTGGGTGAGCCGTGTCTTGATCGGAAAGCACAGACACTGCTCCACCTCCAAACCCCAGCACTGAGATTGTTTTGCTATGACTGATCTCCTTTCTCAGTCAGAGTCAGTGCAGATGCCCAGGTCAAGAAGAGACACTGATCAAAACTCACTACGTTGGGACAGCAATGGTCATGACTGTAAGCTGTCACTTGAGCCACTCAAGAGTCCTCCAGCAGCCTGACCTGCTCTCTGTAGCTAAGACAAGGCCAAACCTTTTCAAGAACTTTTAAAAAAGGAAACCAGGCAAGATCAGGAAAGTCTGGGCCTTTTACAAATTACTTTTTCTGTCTCAAAACTGATATGGCTGTGAATGTGAGGCTTCCAACCAAAATTTCTGCCCCTCTCATCTCTTATCACCTCCTATCACTTTTTTTGGAGGTGGGAGCAGAAGGTAGGGAGAGGGCACAGGGACCATTGCTGGTGACTTGTCTAGGAAAAAATGCTGCTAGTACATGCTATGCTTATCTGCAAACCTGGACCAGACCTCTCTCCCCACTCCCATAGGGAAGTATCACAATCCTGGTCCACATCCCAGGGGCCACCAAGCCTTCCAACACAGAAGTGGAACACTTACCTATGGGATACTTGTGCTTATCTGTGTCAATCCCAGCATACACCACTCCACCAAACAGGTCATTCAAGATGGCTGCCAGGGCTTCAGCATTGAGCATCCCATGCAGAGCGCCAACAAACACTGTCCTACTGGGATCAAGCCTCTGAGATGGGCTCCGGACAAAGTTGCTGTCAGCCAAGACCCAGGGGATCACCTGCACCTGAAAACCACCCAAAGGTGCATCAGCTCTGTCACAGATAGAGAGGCTCTCATGTGGCCAGGCACATGCCCTGGAGATCCTAAAGCTGGGGTTGCCAAGCCCTTACAGTGGGAAAAGAGGGGTCACCATCTGTCTTAGACACACAAGCATTCCATAAGCCACCCTTTTACCCCTACCCAGTTACAGCTGAACTATATTAAGGATCCATGTGTCCAGGATAGTGAAAGTTTGTGATAGAAAAGCACTCACTCATCTTGAGGACAAACAAAAGAAAAGTACTAACCCATCATACCCAGGAACCTAATCCTCTGTCCCAACTTTCAACTGTATGGTTTTCACAAAGGGTCTTGGACAATGATGAACACATAACATGATCTGGAGTCCTTGGAAGAGGAAGGAGTCAGAGAAGAAATTAAAGGACAAAGGGGTAGAAATGCCTATGGTACTTGTTTGAAATGGTCATCAGCCCAAGCCAGGCATTTGAAGGCTTGGGCCAGAAATAGAAAATTAGAGAGAAGAAGGGTGGAAATCTGTGCAAAGAAGATCACTGAAGTCTTGCAGAGCCCAGTAGCACTAGGGCAGGAGTTGACCATGTCTTTTGTCTCTGGAAACCATGAACCTAAAAAAAAAATACGGCACAGCAGACAGAAGACTCCACAACCAAGTAAGCTGACAGATGACCAGTAAATGTTTGGAAGATTTATATGTGAAGATTTAAACAAAGTATCTTGAAGCAGGAAGAGTTCTAAGGCAGAAAAAAGCAAAGAGGCAAAAGCAGTAGTTTGGAGGACAGATTAAGGCCTGGATAAGACTGCTGTTACTGAATATGAATAAGCCAAGACCAAGGAGATGCTTCAGCCAAAGAGCCTGCAAACTTAGACTGCCTGAACATGATGGGTAAACAAAGAAGAATCAGAACCAGTGGGCTCTGAGTCTAGATGACCTTGGGATGAAAAGGCCTGGCAGAAATTACAAAGGGAGCCAATTTCAGTGGAAGATGACAAAGTACACTGAAGAGTTTGGGACTACAGGACATCCCAAAGGAGAGTCCCCCAGGAAGGTGGGGCTCAGGTAGGCTTGAGGCTAGAGAGGTGAGTCTGGGTCTGAAGGCAACAAGACTCATGAAAGTGAGCGATTTACCTGAAATGGGAAAGAACTAAGGAGGGAGTCAAGTACTGACTATACAGGTATGTGTGTGTGGAAGGGGAAAATACAAAGGACATAGAGGTAGAAGCAATGAATCAAAGAAAAACATTAAATCACTACAAGGTGCTGAGGAGAGAATGAGAGATAGGAAGGTGCCAACAAGGGCAATGAGAAAGGTGAAGGGGTAGAGGGCATGAATACAGCATTCTCTTTATTGTGAAAGCAGGAGACGGGGAAGGAAGAGCATGCTAACCAAGTCCCAGAACAAATAAGGTGGGATAATTGCATAAGCTCCACGCAGCAAAAAAGGAGAGAAGGTGGGGAAACTGTGGGTCACCAAGGGAGCCAGAACATAAACTTACTCTCCTTTCACTATGACAAAATGTGGTGTAACACTCGGAAACTCCGTAAAACAAACAGAATTTTGTTACATGGATTATTTATTTTCAATCCAATGTGACTATCCCAATAAAACAGGCATTTTAACTCCCCAATTTATAGATGAGGACGTGATGTTTCAGAGATGTTAAATATTGGTCCAATGTCACATAAGTGATGCCCTTTTGAGTCAGATTTTAAAAAACACAAGACTAATTCCTAAACTCATAATGTCCTTGGCAAGTGGTTCTCCAGCAAGATCCACTAGAACCATTTGTTAAAGTAGAGATTCCTGAGTTCCACCCAAACTGATCCAGTAAGTCTGGGATAAGACCCAGGAATCTGCAATAAGGTCTCCAAATAAGAAAATTCCATGCTAGCGACCCATGCTAACAAGGACATACAAGGCCAAAAGGTGTAAGGAGAGAGAATTGTATGGAGAAAATGATGTAACTAGAAAAGCCCTAAATGGGAACAAAAAAGTGATCCATGGGTGGTTGTGGATAGGGGTTACAGGTCAGAAAGCACAGCCTGAAGGCAGGGCTAGGAAGAAACAAGTTGATTTGTATCAAGTATGTTCAAGCAGAGAAAGTTGCTGCTTTTAATTTCATCTATAAGCCAAGCTGTTTGGGACAGAAGCACTGGTTAGAAGAGTAAATTAAAAGCTGGGAGATAATTTGATCTACATGGGCAGGAGCACATACACACAGACCACTGAGGCCTAAAGGCTAATTTTTTTTTAATGTAATTAAGAGGGTTTTATATGTATTATGGGGCACGAAAGGAGCTGGGGTGGCACTATGGTTAAGGAACTGGGCTGCTAATTAAAAGCTCGTCAGTTTGAATCCATGGGAGAAGGATGAGACAGTATGCTTCTGTGAAGATTTACAGTTTGGCAACTCTATGGCCCTAGTCAATTCAGGTCTGGAAGTGAACCCACACCTGTGGTTTCCAGCCAAACAAAAGACAGGCATATACGGTGAACATTTATACCAGGTAGATATACTCAAAATGATCAAGATCAATAACGGGAGAACAGAAGGGCAGTACTTGCATAGGGAGACAGCTCAGGGGACAGGAACACATAGGAAAGAAGGACACAGGGAAGAGGTAACTACAGGGAGGAAGTGGGAAGAGAGCTGTTATGTTGTGGGGATTGTAGTCACTGTCATGAAACAACGTACGAACTGCTATATGGAAAATGAATTTGGTCTGTTAATTATCACCCAAATCACAATAATTTTTTTTAAAACCCCTGCAGTTAGTTATAATAACAAAAACATTTTTTGTAAACACAGCATACATGTATCAATGTACCCACAAGGCTAAAACTCTACGTTAATTTACTTTTTGAGCTTTCTGATGGGCTCTGGTCAGGGCTGCATTATCACGCAATTTCAATGATGCTTTGAAACACGTGATTTCATGTGCATGCATTGTTGTTTTTGTTGCTATGGGTGTTTTTAAAGTCACAGATTTTGTCACAATTTCTGGTGTTTCAGCTACAGTATTGTGGTAAGCAATTATTTGTGAACCTATATCAACTTATTTTGAGAATAAAGTAGTAATTAAAGGAAAAATCAAAAACGCTTCCACTCACTAATAATGTTGTAATGCAATGTGGAAAGATTTTACAAAACACTTGTGTTGTTAGTACCCACAAAATATAAGAAATACTGCATTTAAGCAATTTACAACTAAATTTATCACATATTTATTCTATGATTAAAATTGATAATAAACATTACTAAGGATTCTGTATGGTCTGATATGGGAGAAGGTCCATGGGAGGGGGTGACACCATGAGCTACTGCACTGGGTGTCTCCAACCCTAGTGACGTCACTGGCAGGAATACTTCTCAATGAAGCCTGAGTACCCACCCACCCCAAGGAAATCCAGTGCCCCATATGTCCTTACCTTGTGCAGAGAGGAAAAGTACTAACTTACCTCCTTGCAGCGCATCCTTCGGCTGGACATCTTGAAATAATATTCACTCAGGCCATCTGGGCTCAGTGGGTCATGAGAACAAGCTTGAAGCAAGGCCCGGACAGACTTCTCCAGTTCAAAGACCAGATACACATACCCTATTCCCAATGAAAAGAGAAATGATATTAACATCCCCTTGCATGGTTATTCCTCAGCCTTGGCTTTAAAGCAGAGTTTTCACTAGAGAAGAGCCCTCACGTGTAAGGTTCATTTTTGTCCTACTCCTGAAAATCATTTTTTTTTTTTTTTTTAACATGTCAGATGCCCAGGCCAAGTGAGAGAGAAGTGTACCATCCCCCACCCTAATAAGGTAAGGGACTGGCAAGTTGGGACAGGATCCCACTGTTAACACACAACTCTCTATCTCAGAACGCAAAGCATGTTCAGGTCATCAGAGCCAGGCCTTCCCGGAGGCAGAAGGGATGGCTAGTCTGCCAGGGATGGAGGAACTATTTTAAAAGCCTACTTAAGCCACTGGTTCAGTTCATGGGGACATTTTCAGTGAAGATGGGGCAGAGTGAAAATAGCATCTATACTCCTTTCTACAGGGAAGGGATCTCATTTCAGACCAGTGAGAAATCAGATGCTTGGTCCTCATTCCTGCCAACTCCAAAGGGATCTCAGAATTAGGTCATGCAACAACTTAACTAGGCACGAAGGCAGGCAAGGGAAAGCTTTCCAAATGCCTCATTTTGAGAGGAAAGGAGCTACCAGGGTTCAGCTTTGGAGGGAAACGCACAAAGTATGGGTTTTAGGGGCATCTCCCATTGCAGTGTAAGTTTGGATAGATGGGACACTAGCTCAGAAGAAACAGAAGGGTGTGCTAGGTTGAAGAGGAAGTGCAGAGAGCTGAAGGGTCTATACCCTGGAGTGCTCATACCACGTTACCAGCATGCAGCTGTGATATCCCAGCACCCCTCAGTGCAATTAATGTGCTAGGGAGGGGGGAAAAAAAAGTTCCTACCATGTCTTTATTACCTTTAGGCATATTACCTTTGGGAGGACACCGGGGGTGCTTGCCATCCTTACCAGGCCACTCTACACTCAAAGAGCCAAAAACACGGAAGGTGTTAACCAATCCAGCTGCAACGAGGCAGAAAAGAATGACAGAAATTGAGACACTATCCTCTCACAGGAAAGGTACAAGCACAGTATATCATCAGTGTTCTTGCCCCCAGGCTCATCCCCCTTGACAACCAACTCAGAACTGACTCTTGGTCTCAGGAGACAAGTGCAAGCACCTGACACAGAAGCACCATGGGAGTGTATGAAATGGACCTCTCTACCTCTCTCCTCAACTGCTCCTGTAACAGCCTATGCTCAGGCAGAGGTCCAGCCTCTGGCCTCCAGTCCAAGTTTCATGCTCCTGAAAGACATTCTCCAGCCTCAACTTTTGTAGCAGGAGTCTCAGAGGCACCTCACCTTCCGTAATATCCCAGGGAACACCTCCTAGGAAGACCTTGCAAGAGTAGATGGGGTTCTTGTAGTTCCGAGGAGGAAGCTGGCCGCTCCAGGTACAAGTGGCTTCATTCACAGCTTGGTAGAAGACAAAGAGAGAAATAGGGGCCAGAGGATCAAGAGTCACTATACCCTTTCCTGGACTGAACTTGTCCTGGAAGAATAGACTGGTCACAACTGTAACCCAGCTGCCTGAGAGAACATCTAACTATTCTAAAAGGCAAGAAATAGTATGTCTCACCAATTCAATTACTCAAGTATGATAATCCTGATTCATTAATTCAGTCCCCACTGAAATTGAGAGGAATACTATCACTACAAAAGTAGATTGCCCAATCTTCCTTCTAAGGAGTGGCTCGTGGGTTTGAACCACCAGCCTTCTGGTTAGCAGTCAAATGCCTTAGGCACTATGCCACTAGCGCTCCTAAACAGATGCTTAGGGCAGAAATTATCACAATCCAATGCATTTCCAAACACTATAATAACTGATAAGCTAATCACAAAGCAGTTTTATCCAGCTATTGCTTATAATATTAAATAATTTAAATCTGTAAGTACTTGAAAATAACCAGAACAATTGGTATATAATGTCCTATAGGCCAATCCTTTACTAGTCCAAACCGGCCTTCCTCCTGACTACCTGAATGATGGACATTCTATTTCCCTGCTTGGCTCTGAATTCATCTATCACTGAAGTAAGGACACTGCCAATGACCATAGCAATCCAACAAGATGAGACTGTCAACAACTGTTCCCTAAATCAAAAGAACCATGGCTTATCACTGGCAGAGCTGTCCTATAGTATTTGAACAGAAACTGGGTCTTCCTTGACGCCAAATTCTTAAGATAATGGATTTGCCTCCAATTCTTCAGCTTCCCATTTAATACCAAACAGAAGTTTGTCCAAACTCATTGTGAAGTTCTTTGGACTCTGACTCAAGCACCATGTTAAGAAACAAGTTCTAAATGCTTTTTCCTCTTTGCTACAGGCAGTCTCCTGGTTATGAACAAATTCTATTCTTACCTGTGTCTTTAAGAATTTGTAGGTAAGTCAGAACAGGTACATAGGCTTCTTATTTAGCCTTACTTTAATGCAAGAAAAGGCTGGAAGCCTTTTCAATGATTTAAAAGTGGCATCTGTGGCAAGTAAAGGTGACTGTGATGAAGAATTTGTTGCCAGCAAGGGTTGGTTCAATCATTTCAAGGTGAGGGAAAATTTACATAATATTAAAGACCAACTAGGAGTAATGTAGCGTAGTGCCTAAGGCACTTGACTGCTAACCAGAAGGCTGGCGGTTCAAATCCACCAGCCACTCCTCAGAAGGAAGATGGGGCAATCTACTTCCGTAGTGATACTGCCTCGGAAACCCAAGGAGGGTTCGCTAGGAGTTGGGTGTGACTCAACGGCACATGACGACAGGAGTAATGTGAGGACTGCCTGTTTGACCTGCCCCTAATTATCTGTAGTGGTCTCTCTGTTGCTGTAACCATTTCAGCCTTCTATCAATCTTGAATTCCTGCCCCTCAACCCCCAGCCTATGCTTTTTCAGATCAGAGACTGACCTTAATGGGAACTGGCTAGTCCCTGCCCATTCTACCCTCCTCTTTTAGCAGTGATGCAGCCAGCCAATGAAATTAACTATCATTTTCATTCAGGACAAAGATCTGGAGGCCAGACCCTAAAAGACAAAAGCTACACTGAAAAATTGGTACTGTCACATGAGACCAGAAAAACTAGATGCTGCCCAGCTACCACTGTCAACCACTCGGGGGATCGGTGTAAGAGATCCTGATAGAGTGGGAGGAAAATGTGGAACAAAACTCAAAATCATTAAAAAAAAAAAAAAAAAAAAGGACCAGGTTTGCTGGTCTGGTAGAACCTGGTGAGACCCCTGAGACTATGGCCCCTAGTTACCTTTCAGGTCTGGAACTGAACTCACTCCTGTGGCTTCCAGCCAAACAACAGACAGGCACATGGGGTAAACATTTACATCAGGTAGATACACTCCTTGCAGTGATCAATTGGTGGGAGAACAGAAGGGCGGTGTTTACAGAGGGGAAATGGGGGTGGGGGAGGAGAAGCACATGGGAGGGAAGAGGTAACTATGGGAGGAGGAAGTGGGAGAGAGCTGTTACACTGAGGGAAATTGCAGTCAATGTCATGAAAGAAAATGTGTATGAACTTCTGTATGGAAAATTAATTTGCTCTGTAAACTTTCACCCAAATCTCAATAAAAATTGAAAAAGAAAGAAATTGGTATTATCAGCAGTATTTTAAGAACAAGATTAAAAGTCAATATAATGATCTTATCCAAAACTTAGCACAACAATGGCACTAGAGAGACAGGACATAGATGGGCTGCTAAAGCCATTAGATGAACAAGGCAGCTGCACTATTAGGGGAGACAGATCAGGTCCAATTCTGTGGGCAGAAAGACAGACATACTAAAACCTATGGAAAACAAATGGAACAGAGAAAATGAACATCCACTTAGTCATCAACTCCAACCAAATTCCACTGCTATCTTATCAAATGAACTCACAGCGAGACTGTAGGACAGAGTTGAACTGCCCTTTAGGGTTTCCAAGGCTGAAAATCCTTACAGAAGTAGACTGCCTCATCTTCCTCCCATGGAGCAGCTGGTGGGTTTGAACCACTGACCTGGTTAACAGCCAAATGCTTTACCCACTATGCCACCAGAGCTCCTACAAAGTAGGAAAGTAGACAAAATTCTGAGCATCAATCTCAGTTTCTTTTCAGGATACCCACCTGTAAAAGAATTAAAAGCCACAGTAGGAATAGCACATAGCCAGTCTTCTCAGAAGAACACAAGTGAGAGGTGGACGGAACTCCTTATGGGAATCCTGTGCACCAGATAATGTGCCCCTTTCCCTCTCCACTCAATCTCAAAGAAGTCACTGAATTTGCCCCCAAATCCACAGAACAGATTATTCTTTGCACATATGGAGACTTCACCATGCAACCAGCTCCCTCTGGACAATTCACCAATGTGTGAGCTAAGGTCACTTTCTCTTTGTTCCCAGAATGGGGTCTCAGGTCCATGCCTGCCCACAGCCACACTTACCTGCAGCTTGCCGGTGTAGCCTGGCCTCTCTCTCTATGCTGAAGGGGTCTTTGGGAGCTTCAAGGAGGTCCCAGGATGGCCACACAGAAGCTCCTGGCCATTTTTTTGATGCACTGGTTGGGGAGGGCGTGACTGCAGCGAGAGCAGCTTGCTCTTGGTCCATCCGGGACCCCACCCCCATCTTTAAAGGGTCTCTGGGACCACCCCCTGTCAGAGACAGGAAGGGCAGAGGAGGGGAAATGCGAAGGCTTGACTAAGGGAGGAAAAAGATACAAGTTTTTAAAGGACAGTTTTGACATAAGAATAATCACACTAAAGAAAATAAATACGTACGTACATACTAATACACATTTAGCATTTGATACATTTCCATTTAGACTTCTTATATAAATAAATTTTCCTTCCCTCTTCAATTCAAATTTTTTTTCATATTTCAAGATATCTTCACAGCCATTTTTAATGAACTTATGATATCCTATTCAAGAACAAGCTACGTTCCATTGACCCACTCACCTACTGTTAAACTGGAGGTATTTCCCAAGATCTCAAGATTATGATTAATAAATTTAAGGCACAGCCTCTTCTCATTTCCCACCCACCCCCTTTGGTCAGATCCCTGAAAGTAGAATGTCAAAATGCTCTCTCTGAGGGTTCTGTTTCTACAAAAAATATATGAAAATACAAGTTTCACTACAAGCTGTGTCAAGGCTTTAAATTCTGCTAACTGGGTTAAAAAGTAGACCACATCATCAAAAAATACGCTAAAGTAGTCAATAGACTGTTTTGTATAAGTTCATATACTATGTCTCTATCCTCTTCTGTGAGTTATCTTTTTTTTTTTTGAGTTATCTCCCCATTTGTCATTTTGTGGAAAGGGTCTGAGAAATCTCTTTATACAAAATACTAAAATACTGAAGTTAGTTATAAGGTCCCTTTCCAAGACTGAGTCCCATCTAAGAGAAACAGAATTAGAAGGACCTCCTGTGGCCCCAATTTACATGGGCATAAACCGTAGCCCAGAAAAATTAAGGGATCTGCTTGTGGTTACTCTTCTGGAAACGCAGTAACAGCAAAGCCAACTGGCAGTGGGAACACCAATGCCAGCTTCCATATTCTAAGATCAGCTGAGGAGAGGCAACTAGTGGGCCCTAAAAGGTCATGCTCTGAGTGGGGAAACTGTAGTCACCACCACTATTGTCAGTCCTGGATATGGAAGAGAACACAGTAGAGAAACAGGCCATTTCTTCATTAAACATTCGGCTTGGGGGATTTAGTAACAAAAAAGCCAGGATCAGAAGGTATCTGAAATTGTATTTTATTTTACGATCATTTCTTACTGCCAATCTCACATATATTTATTTCTACTAGCTCTTCCCTACAACCATTCTAACCCATTTGCCAACAACTCCACGAAGCATGGATACTGCACATGTCACACAGGACTGTAGATAAGAACATGAGATGTGTAAATGAACTTTAGGGCAGTATTATTCCATTCATCATTGTCTCAGATTGAGAGTTGGCATGGCTCAGTAGAAAGAACTGAGGCACTAAAAGTCAGATCTGGATTAAAACCCTAGCCCTGTTACTTACTAACCACGTTATTTTAAAAATGATCACTTACAAATATCCGATATCAGACATAAAGGTAGATAAAGTGATATTGTTTTAAGGCTAAAGGAAATACCCATGTAGGTTAAGAAACAGAAAATTGCCAGGACCTCCATATTTACTTTTGGAATTAACTTGTTTTCCAACAGGTCTTAGAGCAACTAGAAAAAGGAAAACCCTTAGCTCAGTTCTGCAGTATACTACTCAATGAGTGTACAAAAAATCCCCAATTCTGTTGAGCATAAAAAGTCTAGAGATGCTCATGTCTTCCACTCTTCCCATCATCCCACCTCCCAGCATGCATTCTAGCAGACACGCATTCCCACTTTAAGCTCCAAAGCAGATACTGCACCCTCCTTTCTGTATGGACACACATAGGAAAGCCCCCATGAACAAGTTACATACAATCAAATCTGAGAGATGATCTGATCCAGAGCTGAAGCCACTGGTATCTGAATCAGAGGGGCTGCTAGAACGGGAGTCCAATATGGGCCGAGTGTCCAGCCGGGATCCTCTCACTGAGGGTGGTGGAAACTTGTCCATCAAGTCAGCCCCAAGAGGGTCCAGAGGCAGGAAGCTCAAGGGGGGTTTTCCCAGGACATTTCCCAGTGGTTTGTGGAGCATGCTCAGTACTAGGAGGAAAACAAAAAAGAACCCCTCGTGACCTTGTTGTTTTGTTCCCCAGAAAAGGTTTCCAACAGCTCTTCCCTTCTCTCCTATAAAAAAACAAACAAAAAAAAAAACTCACTGTCATTGAGTCGGATCCGATTCACAGCAAACCCTCCTTGGGCTTCTGAGGCAGTATCATGATGGAAGTAGATTGCCCAGTCTTCCTTCCAAGGAGTGGCTGGTGGGTTTGAACCACCAGCCTTCTGGTTAGCAGTCAAATGCTTTTGGCACTATGCCACCAGAGCTCCTAATAGCCACCCAGTAAGATACACCAAGGCAGGTTTTAACCATGCTAAAACAGAGTACGATGAAAAGAAATGCATTCAATACTGATACACATCTAGTCCTGAGACCTGGCCACAAGAGGCCATCGGAGTAGTTATAGGATGACTAGCTCAATACCAGAGTTTCTACTATTTATAGTAGCAGCAAAATTCCTGTTCTCTGATACTCAGGCTTAAGGGTAAGTGCCAATATTTGGGAAACTCTGTGCGACGTGGGACCCCAATCACAAACGTTATTAATGTCTGGATACACCTGCCTATGTTACCACAGAAGATACTTTCAGCACCATTAGGGAGCCCAAACCATATACCTTCATTATTGTCTTACTACCTGTTTTTAGTAGCTAATTCCATGCCACATACCAGAAATCTGGTATAGCAAGTACTGCAGATAAGTTATAGAGTTATAGACAGCTACAGAGAAGTTCCCTTGTGCAAAATCCTAACATATGAAGAGTCTTCTACATATCCCTGAGCTCCAAAGCAGATACTGCACCCTTCCCCACACCCATTCTACTCTTATCTGCTAGCAACTCCACAAAGCATAGATACTGTTCATGTCATACAGGGCTGCAGATAAGAACATGAGATACATAAATGAACTTTCAGGTAGTATTTCATAGGTTCATCATGCATGTGCAGAATGGTGTTGTGGTTAAGCGTGTTCTAACTTACAACAAACATAGATTGAAACTCTGGCTCCAATACCTCCTGTATGTGGCTGTGTGTTCTGGGAAACTCACTTAACCTCTCTGAGCCTCCACTGTCTCATTGGCACCTTGAGTGTCAACTTCATAACACTGTTCTAATGATTCAATAATTAAATAGCAGATGGAAAGTGCTCAGGAGTGCAGTGTCTAAAGCACAATAAATATTTAAATATCAAACCTTAACAGAGTGGGGAGCACAGGTTGGGAAAGAGAAGGGAGCTAAAAAGGGCAGAAGACAGCAACACTTTTCCACACTTGTCTCTGAGGTAAATAAGGAATCTGATGCAAAGCACACCCTTGTTAATCCATAAAGATGAGGAGTAAGAGAACTTTACCACCGAGCCGTGCCTAAGGCATTTGACTGCTAACCAGAAGGCTGGCGGTTCCAACCCACCAGCCACTCCTTGAAAGGAAGCTGGGCAATCTACTTCCATAGTAATACCGCCTTAGAAAATCAAGGAGGGGTCGCTAAGTTGGATCTGACTCGAAGGCAGTGAGTTTGGGTTTTTTTTTTTTTTATGGGGCACCAAGGCTGGGGAAGAAGACTTAATGTGACAATGGTTTTTTTTTTTCTTCCATCTGAAGAATGAAAAGAACAATAGCCTTAGAAAAGCTGTGAGGTGAAACTAAAATGATGTGTGGGAGTGTGTAACAGTTCAATAAACGGTGGACACAAGTCACCCCAGAGCTGGTTTCCCCTCAGGCTTCCAAAGTCAGTCCCAATGCCTGGATAGGGATGAGGGAGTCCCAAGTGGCAGATGTCAATTTCTCCAAGCATGAAATCAAGGGTATGGCATATTTTCTGAAAACCAGACACACATGCCACTAACAATACAGCACAGGCACAAGATTCAAAACAGCTGTTATTATAGGATCAGTTCAGCCCATTCCCCTTTAAAAGGCACATAGCCTCTGTAGCGAAATGAGTTCTTTTACCTTGTTGTTTATGTGCCGTCAAGTCAGACCCGACTCATAGCAACCCCTCCTTGGGATTCCAAGGCAGTATCGCTACAGAAGTAGATTGCCCCATCTTCCTTCTTTTACCTTAGTTGTTTAGAAAAACAGCTTGAGAGATGTTCCCCCTAAGCTCTAAGGAGTTACCTTTGCCCTAGTTTTCCACCCTAGAGGGTTTGTTACTTATCTGCAGGTTGATTAACATTTCCTAGTTAAGTTATAAACAATTTGACAGTTTGGTACTTTTTGTCTGGCCAGGGTCTGCAGCCTGCTCTGTGATTGGTATGTACCTTGCAAGGATCAGTCAATATTATTATGCAATGAAGTGACAGACTTATGCAAATGAAGTGACTGTGGCCTACCAAGAAAGGATTGGTCAGTTGTGGCCCTGCTGGTAGGGCCATGCCTTGATAGCAACCAAGACTTTGCTTACACAGTATGTGTCAATTCAATGTCCATTTGGGCAATGTCTGACTATATATATATGTCTGTGGGACAGGGCACTCAGATGTCTGAATGCCAGGACACCAAGATCCTTGTCTTGGGGTTGGGGCTCCATTTCTGCCCAGTGCTGAACATGACCAGGAAGCCACCTAGTTTGTGGTGATAAAGGCCCAGGCCCAAACTCTCAACCCAGGTTGCCCCTGTCTACTCTCATGACTCAACAAGTCTAGTTCCTGTGTTCTACCTGGCATGGTCCTACAGGCCATCAATGGAAAGGTCTACCCACATCACTCCCTCCCCAAGCAGGTTCTGATGGGAGATCTAGTCTTCCCTGCAGCTGGCTTAGTAGAGAAGGTGGTGACAGCCAGGCAGGACCTGGCCAAGCACTCACCTGAGGTGTCCCCAGTAGAAGCTGCCTGGGTTATGTGCCATAAAGCAATCCTTGGGCCAATGTGCCTGGGAGCCCCCACACCTCACAGACAACATCCAAACCATGTAACATCTTATTTCACAAAACATATCGTGGACAATAATTATGTATACTTATATATGCAGCCAACCCCACAGAGGTTTGCAGACAGAGAAGCAGCAAAAAGACCAGACAAGACAGGCAAGAAGAAGAAAGAGAGACAGGAGGTGAGGACTCCTCCAAAAAAGCTGCAACGGATCAAGGGCTTTAACACTGAAGAGCCGATGTCAACAAGTCTGGAAGGGGCCCTGCAACAGAGTCAGTGGTGATGGCAGAAACCTGCTGCTAGGACTGCAGCTAAGAGAGCTGAACAGAACTGCTATGCTGGATATGAGCTCCATCAGTTAGCAGTAGAAAGGCCTGTCCACAGGGGGCCAAGAGAGGGCTGGCATAGCTGAGGAGAGTCGTGCATGGCAGAAAGAAGGGTGTGCTTGCTTGCATGGCCTACAGGAGCTGAGAGAGAGGTCCTGCGCTGCAGAAGAGAAGGATGTGCTCTCTCCACTTCGGGGAAGATTTCCTGACTTTAACTACTTGCTTCTTGATCTTGTTCCTTAGTTGTACCCAGTTACTTCCTTAATAGACCACTGTACTGTAAGAATGGTCTGTGAGTTCTGTGTGGCCACTGCAACAAATTATCAAATCCAGCAACGAAGTACAGATTGCCACGGGGAGGACGGCTGGTGTCAGAATTGGTAAAACGGTTGGGGAGTGGGATTTGTATTATTTCCCCCATACCCCAAGTTACACAGATTCTGATGCTACTACTACTATTTCACAACCTCCCTTTTAGATAAAGGCATGGTAGGTATATTTTAACTTTTTAATAAACTGTCACACTGTTTTCCAAAGTAAATGTATCATTTTACATTCCCATTAAGGGCACTGAGAATTTCAATCCCTCCACATATTCACCAACACTTGGTGAGGTCAATCTTTTCAGTTTTAGCCAATCTAGTAAGCAGGGGGGAAGTGAATAGATGAGGTGAGTCCTGTACAATATCCAGCAGAGAGTTAGTTACTTATTTTTTTTCCCCAAAGAAATATTTTACCTAGACCTTTTCAAAGCAGCTTCCAAAGTATAATTATTTAATTGTATGCCAGAACTAAGAGTCTGATAATACTTTGATTCTGATACCCATCAGAAATAATCTTTGACAAACTTCTAAATAATCCTTAATGAACCTCTGTCTGAAAGAAACACAAAATCAGAACTCCTGGAATCTAGGCCTTGACAAAGTAGGAGGTTATAAAGATTTATTCAGGGCTCTTCCCTGCCTGGTACAATGCCTAGAAAAAAAGCACCATGAAAACTAACAGACCATATGCCTCAATCTAGGAGCTCTGGTAGCATAGTGCCTTAGTGGTAGCATAGTGCCTAAGGCACTTGACTACTAACCAGAAGGCTGGCAGTTCAAACCCATCAGCCACTCCTCGGAAGGAAGGTTGGACAATCTACTTCCATAGTGATAGTGCTTTGGAAACCCAAGGAGGGGTCATTATGAGTCAGGCCTGATTCGACGGCACATAACAACAACCAACAACAACAACAACATGCCTGAGTCTTAAAAGTAGTGCCAATGCATTCAGGAAGGGATCAAAACTGGAGATCCTGGATAGAGTGGGAGGAAAAATGTGGAACAAAATTCAAAAACACAGCAACAACCAGAATTATTGGTCAGATGGAGTCTGGCAGGACCCCCAAGACTATGGCTCTCAGCCCAACAGCAGAAAGACTTACATGCAGAACACCCAACCCAGGACAATACACACACCTTTTCTACAGAGATACACCCCTTGGAGCAATTGGCCATGGGGCACCAGAGGGGCAGCATTCACATGGAGGGAAAGCTAGACAGACAGGAGTACACAACTAAGAAGGACACAGGGATGGGGGTGGTCACAGGAAAGGAAGGGGAGGAGAGTGGGTTAGCATTGGGGATGGTAATCAGGGAGCGAAACCAAATGTACACTAACTGCTGAACATAAAACGAATTCTGCTCTGTCAATCTGCACCCAAATCACAATTAAAAAAGAAAAAGGTTTCACACACAAAAAAAGAAATATTCTTTGATGGTTACCAGGAGATGGATGGGGAAAAGTGG